TTATCATTCTAAAAAGGTGACTGGCGTACAACATGCCCGCTAATGCCTCACAATGACAAATGTCACAGTGCTAAGAGTGCAGTCTTAACGCCTGATGAAAAACTAAGAGCGTACAAGCAAACTAATTGCATTAGTGCAGGCAAAACATTGTTCCTGCCAAATGAACGTCGATGGTAAGTAAAGAAACGTCATCTTAAAGTGACAATTTGTTTAACTAAAAAGATATTTTCTTTGAAACAAACATTGGCTACAGTTGGTCGGGTAGACACTGAAAATCAAAGTATATAGGCAACCTTCCAAAAGGCTGTCTCTCGTATATTTAATACATTTCCGCATCGTGGTGCCGGCAAAAAAAACATAACTAGGTGGGGACTTTATTTATTTTTTTGCCATTTCATTTGGGCCACATGCCGGTGATAAATCAAGCGTGATGTTGCACACGGCACGGCTGTGCGTGAGGCCCCACTCACTAAGATGGATGCTTTAATACCGGATCTGTTGCCACTTGGCTTTTGAGCTAAAAACTATATTGAAGATATAATTTTGTGTTTCCTGCACAGGGGACCTGGGGACAGAATACAAACTCACAAAATATGACATGGCGACATCTCAATAACTCGATACTCGCATTTGCAGGATGTGCATACGCAGCACACAAAGACAAAGACACACACGTCCCTCTTCAGTCAAAGAAATTGATTGTCACCTTGTAAAAGTTCCATTTGCCTACCCTGTCCTATTCACCAACCCAGCCAGGTGGCATTGTAACAATCGGATAGGCGCGTTTCAGAATCCGATTCGCAAGTGGACTCATCCCATCATTCCACCGGGGTGGATAAAACGAAGACCCACTTTTTGGAGGAAGTCGACAGTGGTCGTACTATGGACAGACTATTCATACTTACGAAATATGTAAAAGGCTTCAATCACTGGCTCAGATCCACCGTGAGAGATGAGCATCACTCAATGGTGACAGTACCCCGGGTCACCCACTTATCCGGCATAGCCTCTGGGAGTCTTACGTTAGATTTACAGGAAAGCCCTGCTTTGCAGTGTTTGGGCAATTAATTAATGAGCATTTGGCATTTGGGGGTGAAATGCTGAAAAAAAAGGTAAATGTATGCACACGAGCGGATAACACTAAAAGATCGTGCACACAGGTCAGAAACATATGATTAAAGACCACAGCAGAGCATGAGAATTGCAGCTTTACAGATAATCCTGGGATGTGAACATCACATCCCTGATTTAAATTAAAAACCAATGAATATATTTTTAAATAATATTAGACCATCATTTTCTATTAAATTTTCAGGGACTTGCAATGATCAACTTGCAATGTCACATGTAGGGGGACAGCTCAGAATCAAACGAACGTCCTAAAAATAAAACGGCAATAATAAGGCCAATATCTACGAAATAAAATAAAAATTCCTTTTGCTTTAACAAATCAAGAACAAAGAGCGTCGTAGTTTTAAAAATATTTTTTTAATTTCATGACCAATTACAGGCTGTCCTCGACTTACGAACAACGAGTTACTATCCTAAGAAACGTCCGCAAGTCCATTTGTTCGTATCTCGGAACTCTATATTCAACTGTACACACGGTCAGTGTTATAAAATGTGTTACAGTTCAATAAAGAGAAGGATCGTGAAGCTCATAAGAAGAAATATTGTACATTGTAATACTGTAATGAATCCTGTCTTGTAGATAAAACATAAAATAAAGTAACATGAAAAGAAAGAAGTCAGTTTTATTTTCACTTACCTTGAGTGGAACGGCTGTCGTACATTATGCGGGACGCTGGGACTCATTACGTCACGCAGAGGGTTGCCCCGCCGAACAAAATAGTTCACAATTTGGATGGTTACAAAAAAATAATATCTTATGGCCATTCCTTCGTAAGTACGGATGTTCGTAAGTTGAACGCTAGCAATCTCGGGGACTGTCTGTATATCTCGATCATGCTGTCGTGAGTTGAAGAACATCCTTTAGGAACTCTATCAGGCAGCAGAATGAGTGTGTGCCAGGAGCATGACACCATGATAACTACAACACTTCTAGATTTGAAGCTTTCATGACTGCAAGGATTCATACTCTTTGTTTTTTTTCCGTAAAGTCACGTAGGTTAACGACAGCACTCCCCGTGCCCCTCTACCCACACCACACAGGACTGCTTCGCCCGAGTAAAGCAACGGTAAGTCAGTCAACCAATCTGGTTACTGGTGTCAGCCCTCAGTCGGATTGAGCTTAAATAAGTAAAAAAAACAACTCAATTGTAAATGACGTTCTATGTTTGAGTAGCCATTTGGCGACTGTGCTGAAGCAATCAGCTCTCGCCTTGAGAGAAGGAATGACAGCGGGATACGAACCCAGGTGTCCACTTCTATGGCTCAGTGCACCAATTGCCGTTCACCCCGCCATAACCCCCGCAGCCACCACATAGCTGGTACTGCTTCATGTTACACGGGGGCTACGTTGGATTGTGATTGGGCTATTACTGGTGTGTCGGTGTTTTATTGTTATAACATTTTTTTCTCACCTCTGATGTACGGCGCTTTGTGATTAGCAATTTGAAAGGTGCTTAATAACACTGAGTTTATTATAATAAACAGTTGCTGTGTTGACGGTGTGTGCTAGTTCTATATTTTACAGGGATTGTAATGACTATCTGCCAGACAGAAAAAATTAACCTCCACTCGTGTTACTTGGCGGTGGGATTTGCATTTATAAATAAAACAGGGAACGATTTTCACAAAATGCATTGTCAAGCGAACACTGTGGATGTGTTCGCTGCTTTGAAATGCACGGTGGGTTAAACCAGTCTCATAAGTGAGGCTCGCTGAGAATTGCTTCTGGTCCCTCGAGATGAAATAATCGCTGCTAAAATAAACAACGCACGGGTGGACCAAGTGAATATCAATTACCTGTAACTGCGCGTCGCTCAGCGAGTGCACCAAAGCGCCACAATGCAAAGTGAATGGAAAAAAATAATTGAAAGTAAAGTTTGGCAGAAGAGAGTTTAGAATGCAACTAATAAGGTCACGTATCGTGTGAGGAGCCAGCCGCGATCCTAATCTAGCCAGTTTGAATGCGCAAGCAGCGTCTGTGGTATATCGCAACGGATAAGCGTTACAGTGAAACGCGCGTACACGCGCTTACACGCGCCCGCATACACAGACACTATTACCAAGACACGATCCTCCTGTGTTTAAGGTATTCATACATGTATTCATCTATGTCGGAGTCGATCTCTGGGAGATGTAGGCCAGGTTAAAATGCAACGTGCTGCTGATGATGTGTGGCAGGGAATTGGACCAGAGTAACCAGGATCACAGCGCAGCACAACGGACATTGTTGTGTGTGCACATGGCCAGTGAATTTCACTGCACACCCCAACTCATTATTCTGATGACGCACCTTTTGTAAAACCGAAAATAGAAAAGTCTGAATCCCAGTCAGCAACAGCTGCCTCGCACTCCTTTGCAATTATAAAGAATGGCGGCCTGCTGCAGGAGGCTGCTACGTGTGGGGCGTGTGAGCAGTACGGAGAGAGGGCAGGATAATGAGGCGGACACTAGGGTGGCAACCCGGTGTAGGCAACCGAGGGGGAAGAACTGAAACCAGAAAGAGGTGGTGAAACCGTGACACCAGACCTTTGAAGTCAGCTGTCGTCTGTGAAACGTTTGCAGGAACTGGAAGAAGGGAGGAAGCGACGGAGAGGTGTGGCCGTACACCAACCGAATTGGGCACGGTGACCTCTTGACTATTGACTTGCCTCTTGCTGCAACGTAATGAGAACGCTGTGCTAATGTGATGTCTGAAGACTGAGCAGGGACTTAGTGAAGATGCACAGGGCTTAACAAGGACAAATGAGGTGGCACATGAATTGATATTTAGAGGTAAGACGCTCGCTCTCCATGGGACACCCCGGAGCGAGCGGGTTGGATAGACGCATTCATTAGCACTCAATAGCACTAAAGACTGGGTCATAGCGTTGGCTGCAACGCAGTGCAAGATACAAACACACCATCTTGTGGCACAGGGAGAATGTTGATACCAAGCTATCAGTGTGAGTGTAAAACAGGGCAGCATGTAGCAGGAAGATATAAACAAAATCAATCAAACGCAATGGAATCCTATAGAGGTATTGATGTGTATATATATTGTATTATGAGATATACTGCATGAACACTCGTGAGCTGGGTTCCCTTTTGCGTGGACCTGCCCTGTGTTGACCCAGGAAAAATGAATCTCGCACACATCTGGCCATACGAGGTCAGCCACTCCACCCGCGAGGTGTTAGGACACCCCGCCCCTCCGAGTGCTCAAAAACTCAGCGGGTAGTGGTGTGGAAGGGCACTTAGCTCAAAATCAGTTCGACATGAGTTCGAATTCTAATCGCGGCTAGATTTGGCACAATATCCCTGAGAGATCAATACCAAAAAAACTACATTGTCGAAAGTGCTACGGAGATTCGGGGCAAAGCCATAAAAATGTGGAACTTGCACCCCTGGTTCCAAATGTCAACAGTGAGGAGTAGCACCTATTTCTCTTTTTTGAGAAGTTGATGCTTTGCCTTTTAACTTGTCCTGAATGTAAAAAAAGGAGTATCTGCCTTCAAAATCTATAATGTTAGCCAGAGTACACGCCACACTCAATCCACTCAATCGAGCGATGGGGCAGCTTTTATCTCCCGCGATGGCAAGTCCACATTCCCATGGCGGGAGCTAGATATTTTCCACGTGTTGACATGTACTTATGCAATTTGAACTTATATACCTAATCTATTTTACGTATTTATTTTTAGCAGTGATTTTCTTTGGATGCCTATACTTTGCACTCAGATCGTTTTTTTGTATTGTTTGTTGTTGTAGCTCATCGGATTTTTCCAGGGTAAATAAAGGTTCTGATTCCGTGGGAGAGAGGGGGTGTTGTGGTGGGGTCGGTCAGTGTTAGAGGTGGACTCTGGATGATGGGGGTGGGGAGGTGGCCTTACCAAGGCATCGAACACGAGGCGGTCGTAAATCTCACTCTCCGAGTTCTCCATCATGATGTTGAAGAGTGCGTCCAGTGTGTCCTGCAGGAACTGTTCACCACGGCGGGAGGCCAGGGGGGAGGGGGGGGGAGCAGGGCGGCAACGTGAGGCGACACGAACAAGCACAACAACCGCCATTCCCCACTAAGTGGCGGTGACATCACCACGACGCTTGTGCCAGGCTGTGTGCACTTTAAGGCCACGGGAAGTGTCGAATGCCCCCGCTGGCAGGAGGTCACGGGACTGACCCAGGCGCCATGGGTTCACGTCCACCGACCACACGCAGCAAGAGGCAACAGGGGCACACCACGACGAGGTGCGACACGGCGCGTTGCAGGCCCATGAGCTTCTGCTCGTCGGGAGCATAGTGCGAGCCCTTACCTTGACCACCTCCTCGCCGTTGACCTTCATGAGCTGCCTCAAATTGGCCTCCAGGATGTTGGGGTTGGAGCGCCACTTCAATAGCCCAAGCAGCTCCACTGTGAAACAGGGACCACCACCACCATCATCATCATCCGCTGTATGTTGGGGATTTACTGATAGCCTAATAATAGTACCAAGTAAATACTAAAACCTGGCAAATTTTGCTCGTTGCTTATATTAATTATCAATACTGTGTGGATATTTAACGTTTTATTTGATCTGCAATCACTTCCTTACTTATTAATGATCTCAAATACCCCTTGGTTCTGGCACCTTGAATGTACAACTGCATGGGAGACATTATACATAATACAAGATGATGATGGTGATGAAAATGTAATTGTCACCCTATTTAAACAATCATGGGGCAGTGCTCATTAATATCGATGGCCCTGAGCCACTGGCAGACATTGCACATTCCTACGGCAGGTTCCAGTCTCTCCATGAGAGAAGCCATTTGACTTTCTTTCAAGTGATATTCATTGTATGAACCATAGAATGGTGATGAAAAGTGGAGTCTTGCACCATCCTGGCCTAAATACATGGCCACTCGTAACCTGTAATCCAGGCCGGGTGGAGCTCAAAAGAGGGCACTCCAATTAGCACGGTTGACTATGTACGGTGCGAAGGAAGTTGAACATCCATACACACTCCACTTTTTGAAGGTCGGTTTGCAGTCAACTCAGCCCATCTGAGTACCACTTAAGTGGGAAATCAACAGCATTTATCCTATGGATAGAATGGGCCCCACGTTATACATGTGGAATTTTCCATCACTTGTTCAATACCACAGATAAGCACTGGCGAATTCTTGTTTGAGTAAAGATATACTTTAACTTTCGAATTACAAGCAGGTTAGAGCCCCCAACTAAGACACCGACGTCTCTTCTTTGAGACGGAATGAGACAAGAGATGCGTAATTCTTTGTAAATATATAAAGGTCACGCTCGCCCACGTATGTAAACATCTGCCGGTTGCTGTAAATCACGCGACAAACAGACACGCGGCTTCACAATTTCACACGCATGATTTGCTCACAAATTTAACGGCAATGCAACTTGAGACATGACACGAGAGATAAAGCAACGGCCAACACACGTTAGAGCACCACAACACACTCGGGCACTTTTTAATTAATTTTGCGACAGACAATCACTAAGCGCCACACATGATTAAAAATCAAAAACTGACGAGACGAGACCCGAAACACGGCAACGACTCGGCAGACGGGTGACCGGTCGGTCTCACCGCCGCCGCCAAGTCACAAACAGATTCGGGCATCGCGTGGGCGGAAAACGCGGTGCACCCCACCCACCGTTCTGTGTGAGCTTGGTGGAGCACACGAGCGTGGAGATGTAGAGGCGCTCCTTGCTGACCGCGAGGCTGCTGGCGGGCAGCGGCTTGGACGGCGACTGCAGGGTGGAGCGGTCTTCCATCGACGTGAGGCCCAGATACGCCGACGCGTCCTCCAGCTTCTTCGTGTCGCCCTGCGGGGAGCGAGCGGGAGAGGGCACGAGGGTCGAAGGCTTGAGTCTTCTTGCCTGGCAGAGCGATGTGGGGGGGTCGCAGCGAAGAAAGTGTCCGCCGTGCTGGCTACACGGGTCAGTTTAATCATTTGAAGCGCATCCCCCGATCGAATGAGTGAGAGTCCACGCTCATCTGAGTCTCCGGCTCTTAAGGGGGCGCTGAAATATCCCCGTAAAGCATTTAACAGAATTGTGCCCCGTGTGTTAAGGGAAGACGGGTTAGTGAAGAAATACTTCATGGAATATCTGCTGAAAAATTATTGAAAGTCACGCAATGTTATACACTCCACGATGAGATTTGTTGCCGCGTGGGGGTCAAACAAAACTTTTTTTTTTATTCTCAGAGCCAGAATTTTGTCAAATTAATTGCAAAACCAGTTTTAATATGATGGGATTTTTGTGCAGTCGTTGGTGATCAGGCCAATATCATAAACTCGCTACACTTGACAATCTCAGTTAATCACGGGTGGATGCCCAGAATGGAATCCAGGATCTTAGTCAAGGCCAGCTCTGTGGCTCCACTTTCCAAGCCACCCGGCCACCTCAATTCACTGCCATTTTTAACATGCAGGGTGTGCAAGGCTATCGATGGAAACGGTCACCATTGGAAAATAATGATGCAATCTTTTAACTTGGGGCACATCACATTGAAAGGCCGCTGCTGATTTTGCATAACGACAATGCCTTTCTTGTTATTTCAGGCAGGTTCGCAAGGCAAAGGTGAGCAGAGAGTTGAATAACACGGAGAAAAATAAGAGTAATTCCTCCCGTGTAATGCGAGGACCCCCCATCAGTGGTGCAGAAGATGTATCACTGCAAGAAGATGGACTACTCTCCCTATATCACAATCTTACTCAACTGTAGTGCATTCATTACGACTTATCGAGCTGTCACGGCAGACTTAGAATGCCTACAGAACCCTGTATTCCACACCGGATGTTGTGCATTAACTTGCGAAACTGTTATAAATCATCCAGCAGGCCCCTGTCTTCACCCACCCTCCCCGCCGTGCTTGGGAGACATGGCTCGTCTTTGTTTGCACGTGTGGTGTGTGTTCGCGTCTGTGCGTCGTGGGTAAAGGTGCAATACATAACGTTTGCTTAATATGCGAGGGAATTGTGCAACCTCTGCGTGTAAACGTGCACACGCGCAGTGTGCGTGCGATTTGTGCGTTGACAATTAGTGAATAGCGTACGAGTGTGACTGACTTAGTGTAATGTGTCGAAATGTGTGCGTGTAGTGTAGCGTGTATTTGCGTCATACGTCAGGGTGTTGTGTGTGTAATGTATGCGCTTACGTAACGAGTGCGTGCGATGTGCGAACGGTGTCTATATCTGTGCGCAGCGTGTACAACGTGTGTATCGTGTGCACACGTGTAGGTGTTTGTGCGTGTCACGTTTGAGCTGCAGCTATGTAACGATGCATCAATTCAGAGCAGAATCGATCGTGACACGCAAGATGCGCGAGCACAAATTGCGCGTGACAAACGATTCATATTCGCAAATTGTGAAAATGATCCGATAATGCTACATTTAATATGACAAAGAAAACCTGTGAAAACAAAAGCAGGAAAAAAAACCCAAAAACAATGAAATGGGAGAAGAATGAAAACATTATCAATGCTCAAATCTGATTTGTGAACCCACATCGTGACAATTCATGAAGTTGCACGTGGAGTTGACTCGTGACACGCCACTCAGAAAACGCGTGCGTGTAACGTGCGCGCGCGCGTGTGTACACGTGAAGCATGGGTGTAAATGTGTGTATTGAGCGCGTGTGTAATGTGAGTGCAATAAGTACACGTAACAATGTGGTGTATGTGTGTGTATAAAGTGTGTGCGCGTGCAGTACGTGTGTATAACACTCGTGTAGCGCGTGTTTGTGCGAAGTAGAGTGTGTGCGCACAAACGTGTAACGTGCACAGTGTCATGTGTGTATATTGAACTTCTTACGCACCGTACGTAGCTAATCGGAGGTGCGGGGAAGGACACCAAACTATGTATAAACGTTCCAGAGTTGTGGACAAGTTATACTGAAGAACTGCATGAAAACAACGGGCAGTCTTGCGTCAACTTTATTTTCAACAGCGTCACCAGTCGCAGGGATGGACGCACGAATACACGAGTCGACTTAACAATGGGGTCTCTACCATTCTGTACGAAAAACGTATTCCTGTATCCCCTTTCAAAATGCTCTGCCTGCCTCCCGTGCGTAGTGTGTGCAATACATACTAAAACGTTGACACATTTAATCTGTACGTGCACCTTTGCGCATTTATATAAATTTGTGTCTCATTGAAGTGGAGGTAGGTGGTGACATCTGCAGAAGTACACGGCACGGTATAACGTGTATGTTGCCCGTGCAGGGACTGCGTGCGTGTCGGTGTGTATTTGGAGATCATGGCCGACAACAGTGGCAATTACTTCAACTGGTCCCGGGCTTCCCCTTGGTCGACTCGGCCTTACGCGAGCGCTCGGTGCAGTGCGTAAACATCGGCATCGGTGCTGGCCACCCAGCCCAAGTGTGCCGTGCCCACCCTTCATAGGTGCTCGCGAACGGCACTTGCCCAGTCAGCTCAAGGTCATACGGGGGTCGTTGTCTTGTATTCGGAGCGCTGGTGCAGTGGTTTGTGAAGTGTTCCGTGACACTTGCGATGTCGGTAAAAATTCCCAAACATGCGATGCTGGAGAGAAAAGTGATATCTGAACCTGTTTTGTGTCTCTGCTAGGTCAACTCAGCCTTAAATTAGCGTGATGTGATATGAGAATGTTGTGTGTATAGTGCGTAGACTCTCAGCGTGTGTAGAGTGTGTGCAGTAGGCATGTGAGTGTAACGACTGCCAAGTTGAGTGATGCCTGTGTATAAACGTGCTAAAATAGTGTTAAAAGTGTATCAAAAGATATATTAAGACACAATGTACAGACTTCTTTAACTTTGCTTATCAGCACAGTAACCAGTCACATCGATGAACCTATTCTAATGCACGATTAGACTGAACAATGGGATTTTTCTCCAATTTCGTGTATGAATGTATTTTATTTTCTAAATGTTCTCAAAATGCCCTACCTGCCTCCCGTGTGTAATGTGCATAAGTAACGCACACCAAAACCTGTACAAATTGTTTTTTTATGTATGTGTGCCTCTTGCGCATTTATATCACTTTGCGTCTGGTTAAGCGGAGATAGCCCGTGACTTCGTTCTAAAGATATATGAGCAAGAAGTATGGAATGTGTTGCGTGTGTGCGTTTAATGTGTGTGTCGGCAGGTGCGTGCGAGGACAGCGTAAATGAGTACCTGGTGCGGTGTGTAAACATCGCCACTGGGGGGGCAGCTGGGCGTGGTGCTGGCCACCCAGCCCCTCGTGTGCCGTTCCGGCCTTCATAGGTGCTACTCGCTAACAGCACTTGCCCCAGCAGTCTGTACAAGGCTATGTTCCTTGCGAGGTTGGTTCAACTCCCTTGGGTGACCAAGGCGGCTACGCATGTCGCCGGTTACACTACCCCCTTAGGAACTGCGCCGCCCTTAATGAACGCTCAGGGCATTTGCTGGTGCTGTCTACGAGGCGTCACGGGAGGTCTTGTCTGTTGGCAGCCAACGACGCTCCGCTGCTACTGTGCACAAGGGAGGGCATGCTGCTCCGTCAGCACCACTCTACAGCTGCACAGCTGGCAATGCATGCGAGCGAGCAAGCACCGTCAGGACAAAACGACGCTCGTAAGGGCAACTCGCACAAAGTGTCGCGGCATATCAACTTAGCTGCTCAACGGCTCCAACACCAGACTCGACACGTAAGTTTAAAGCGCAAGTTCCGTCTCCTCGTTCGGGCGAGTGCTCATCGCCACTGGCAAGCCCTGAGCTGGCGTTGGGGAAGTCGACTTCACAATCGGGGCTTGCTAATGGCACACAATCCAGCCAGCTTGAAAGGTTGCCAGTTCACACTCGGTCGAGGGTCAGCTTTGCTTTTCGTCCCTTCGGCGTTCATAAAAAATAAATATATATCGAGACCATATTTTAATGGAGAGACTTTTGATCATCATATGAATATGCCAGAGCAGACAGGTGGTACCACCTAAGGAAGCACATTTTTAGTAATGGCCTCTTATTTGTGCAACAAATAAGAGTGGATTACTTAATAACCCCACTCATTTGAAGTAGATATTGCACAATTTCCTGTGCTTAGCCACAAAGAACTACGAAAAGTCATGCCAGCTCAGGTGGTAATGAAGAGAACAAACATCTGAATATGAATTCCTGCAGTCACGAAAGTTTTAAGTCAAAATGTATCTGTCCTGGGCTCATGGATTACACCTCTACCTCAGAGACATCAATTGATATGAGCACCGCCCCAGTGCGCTCATTTGAGCAAGCCAACACTTTGGCTTGATTCCGAACAAGAAGCTATCTTTGACAGGCTTACACAGAGCCCAAGCGCAAAAAAGAGCCATCAATCTTCGTCTCCGTGCACAGGAAGGCCAGTCCAGGCGACGAGCGTGCAAGCAACCGTATTACGCGGTGTAATCATTGCCCAATAGTCCGATGCGGCTATCATCAAAGCCGTTATTATCGGCCAACGCTGCCCGCGGCGTGCGCGTGTCGCCAGCCACCCCCCCGCACGCGCTCGCTCGCTCGCTCTCTCACAAGCGCTCGACGTCCCCCCAGCGCTCGTTTGCGACAATGCAAAGCCGGCGTCGAGGCTCAATCTGCCAGGAGAGCATCTGCTGCGTCGAAATCTCACGCCGATCTCCGGGTCGTCGCTCCGCGTCGTGAGGAACGAGACGGAGCACAAGGCAACAACGAGCATCTGAGAGGGCTACGGGTCGCCCTCGGTTTTAGGAGCTCAGAATGAGAATCAGAATCTTCTTGGTTCGTTCGGTAAAGTCACGTAGAAGGGAAATAATAAAATAATAATTATGTTTTATTTTTATTATTTTATTATGTTTTAGTTTTATTATTTATTATTTCCCTTCTACGTGACTTTACCGAAAGAACCAAGAAGATGAATCCCTGCAGTCAGAAAAGCTTTAAATCGAGAATCAGAATATTTATCTCTACTGGAGGAATCCGATGAGTTATAAAGCTCTTTTACACATATGTCCAGTAGGAGTGGATAAGAATGTTAAAACGAACAAGACAAAAAAACATGATAGTATATACAAAAATTGCTACTAACTCATAGCTGAGAGGGTTACTGATTACCCGCAGTTTTGGAAGTGATTTGATTCATTCAATATGTCGTACGTTCAAGGTGATGTTATTACTGTATCATCTTTATCAATAACTTTATTCTAAACAACATATATTAAGTAAATTTTACCAAAAAAGTACATTATTGTTGGCTTCTTTAACCTGAGATCCCTCCTATACTGATTTGAGCATGGAGACTCTTTTACTTTGAATAAGAATCTGTGTCGGTAATTTGATTACCTTTTGCACAATTTCACTTTGAATCTTATTCTACTTGAACCCAGACCTGCCTTGCATAAAGGATGTGCATTTAAATTATTTCTCGCCTATTTAAATAAATCAATATTATGAACGTCGAAGACGAAATCTACAAAATTATGTTAAACGGTTCTCTGCGTTACGGTGCGTTTTTAATTATCCATCCTGTCGTACATTGTTACCCACACCATGAGAATGTGGAGTTTAAAAACCACTGGCCTAGAGCCACCAATGGAGATGAGAGCCGCCTAATTTTTTGTTTGAGCATGGAGACACTTTTATTTTAATATAACTTGATTGTGTTATAGGACCTGGGGCCATATTCATGAGAAAAAAATGTATATATATAAAACTGCTTGGCACAAATACCAGCCATCAAAGCCCAGCAACATCATTGCTGCATGTGCACCTAAGGTGTAATTCAGCACAAAATGCATCTAGGATCACAGAAGAAAAACCAAACCAGAAAATAACGCCTAACAGGACAGAATAAAACGTGTTGCTCGTGTTGGTAATAAGAAAACCATCCAGTCCTATAATCAAACAATGATCTGTCCCTGGCGAAACGGAAATGTGAGCTATGCATTTCGCTGCATCGGGGCCGTTCAATCTCTGATATCAACAATCACGAGCCAATTTCCATCCCTGTCGACACGTCTGATCTCGGATAAATTGCTTCCGGATGTCTGTGGGATGATAAGCCCCCTGGCTGAGACATATATTCGGTCTCGAAGCAAAAAAACAATGTTTGACTATTGGAATCAACAGTCAAAAAATGGTCAGTGAAAGTGTCTCCGAAGGTCTTTTATCTGAGCTAGAGGTGACTCTAATCTTCACTGGAGGCCCTGCACCAGCAGTGGAAATTCCAAGTTACTATGGCAGGGGGTAGGGCTCTCTGAAGAACAGCCAGTTGACTTGAGTGATGGGCTGAGTCGACCCCCGATCGCGATTTGAACTCGCTCCGATCGTGAGCAAAGTGATTTTGCTACGGCATCCACGAGCCTGCGTGCTTTTAACTGTCAGTGAGAAGTCGCAGCACGTTTCAGTCTCGACAATGAATCAGCACTGCGACGTGAATCAAACTTGCGCAATTGACAACAGTGGTTGGAAGCAGTGAATTTATCTCTCGACCTATTACGGTCGAAACGCCGCAGGGGTCTGTTTCAGGCCTACTGCTGGGTTTTATTTATGTGTAACATCTGTCGACAACATGCTATAAAACTAACATGTGGATGCAAGCGTGTGTGAGTGTGTGAGTATGTGTGTATGTGTGTGTGTGTGGGGAGCGATAGTACAGCGATGAGCGCACTGCGCTACGAACCCGGTGACCCGAGTTGGACTCCCACTCACGGCCAAGAGCAGTGTAGATAATCTGAACCGATCCTGGACCTCCTCTAGGTCCATTCAGCCTCAAATGAGTACCCAGGAAGGTGTGTGAACATCGCCACTAGGGAGACAAAGGCGGCCAGGCGTGGTGCTGGCCACCCAGCCCCTCGTGTGCCGTGCCGGCCTTCATAGGTGCTCGCTCACAGCACTTGCCCAAAAAAGCATATAAATGCTATCTGGGAGATCTTTGCCTTTGCATGAGCACACGTATGTGCATGTGCGCATAAAACCGCAGAGGTTTCAAACAACAGCGTCGTGATCCTAAAGGCCCTGATTTGATTCGCGGCCATGGTGCACAAAATCAGTAAATGGTACAAATATTTAAATATTTTTTTCATTAAGGACTATAACACGGAGTATCAATGGGTTTTTCAGAAGATTCCCACATTGGCATGTTTGGATAATTTCCTGTTTAAGAAGTTTTTGTTGCACTTGAAAGGAAAAAAATCAGCTCAAGAAACGCCACTCGATACGGAAGAAAAACGCTCGGCGGTTAGTTCTGTACAAAAGAGTTTGTGAACCCATTTTCTGCACTGCTATCTCCTGGTTAAGCAATCTGACGTATTTGTACAATCCACCAACCCTGGTCTCTCAAGCGATGGTTTGCAGTCACGTGCCACCACCTCTCCTGGGCATCCCCTACGTCAATTCAGCATTCAAATGGCATCTACTGAGGTGCGTAAACATCAGTCCTTGGGTGACCAAGGCGGCTACGCATGTCGCCGGTTACACTACCCCCTTAGGAACTGCGCCGCCCTTAATGGACGCTCAGGGCATTTGCTGGTGCTGTCTACGAGGCGTCACGGGAGGTCCTGTCTGTTGGCAGCCAACGACGCTCCGCTGCTACTGTGCACAAGGGAGGGCATGCTGCTCCGTCAGCAGCACTCTACAGCTGCACAGCTGGCAATGCATGCGAGCGAGTGAGCAAGCACCATCAGGACAAAACGACGCTCGTAAGAGCAACTCGCACAAAGTGTCGCGGCATATCAACTTAGCTGCTCAACGGCTCCACCACCAGACTCGACACGTAAGTTTAAAGCGCAAGTTCCGTCTCCTCATTCGGGCGAGTGCTCATCGCCACTGGCAAGCCCTGAGCTGGTGTTGGGGAAGTCGACTTCACAGTCGCTCCACAGGACGGACAAATGGCGACTCGCCAACCCAACGCCGTGAGCAGGGTTGGTCGAGTCGACCCCCGCCCTCAATTTGAACTCGCGACCTTCCCGTGGAGAAACGGCGTTTGAAACCACAGTGCCACCTGGCCGGAATACTACATCGTGCACTGCATCGCGTACACTCAAACGTGATATGGTGTTCACCGAACTTCCCACTGACACCGACGCAGTGAATGGAACATCAGCCCAAAAGCACTGAAGTGGATCTCTATTACTCTGGCTTCCACAGTTTAAAATTGCTTCGAGGAAACGTTGACACGTGCACTATTCACCAGTGCACACCCCTCGCAGACCAGGTCTCACTGGCTTCTCTTGGATTCACCAAATCATCAACGACTCACCTCGCAACTGCCCATGAGCCTGAGGACAAGGCCATGTGCACAGGTCATCGCGGATCGATGCAAAAGACCCCCCCCCCCCCCCGCTGGTGTCCCAAGCGCAATGACCGACTGAATTCCTAGAACACTCGTCCCAGTTGTGTGCACCCATGCGACGCTACTACGTTAAATATGTTTTCGGTTGAGAAGGAAGCAGATTAAGGGGGAAACTAAGAGGCAGTTTGGCTAATAGTCAAGCGGTTAATAGGTCAGCTTGCTCACAGACATATAGGCTAATTAGTGAAGCAGGATAGGAAACAAACTGTATAATTGGCAAGAAAGCTAATAGGCACTCTGTAGGACTGATTGCATAAGAGGCAAGCCACCTAATAGCCAGGCCAGCAAGTCACCTAATAGCCAGGCCAGCTACGATCCAGATAGTTTAATAGGATAGTCAAGTAGGCTTACACAAATTCACTTTATGAGCTAACAAGCAGGCCAGCTCTAGACAAGGTTTCCAAAAGGCATTCGAGCTAACAGCACATTCATTCAGCAATTACAATTGGCTCTTACACCCACAAAAACATTAATCAAACACACGAAAACATGCAACATATAGGCCAAAGGAGTGAAGAACACTCGATAAAGGAGGCAAATATTAAAGCCAAAATAAATTATGCCAGTGTATGTCATAATAAATATCTATTCTTTCATACTGAGACATAAATCGCTGGGAGGAGGTTAATATTGAAATTCCCACAAATGCAGCAATATTGCCGGCAGTCTATTAGTTAAGCTGGCTGGCTCATAGGCAGATTGGTTAATCAGTAGGCACGCGAATAGGCAGGTTGGTTAATCAGTAGACCCGGCTAGTCCGAGCCTGCCTGGAGGCGTTCCTCGTCAACGTTTCTGCTGCGACGGATTTTCGCGTCATCTACAGATTCGAATTACCTTGTAGACGATGAGCGTGTGAGTGTTGTCCAAGAGGGTGGTGCCATCGTATCTCATGAGCTTCACGAACGCCATGCCGAACACCTTCTCACTGCGGTCTTTGGCTGGAGACAACATCAAAGGGAACACACAGAGCGTCCCGCAGTTACAAGGAGAGCCGCGGGGATGTTACACGCCGGAGGACCCAAGCCCTCTGATCCACGCCACTGGCGGTCTGCCCGGTGATGTTTTCAATCACGTCGCAGCGTGGATGTGTAAAAGCCTGTTTTTGTTTTGATAAGGCGTGATTGAATGTGGAAAAAGCAAATCGTGAATGTGTGAATCAGAAGCAAAAAATCCCAATCCAGAACCATGCAGGCTTCAGTGAAACTTATCTGGACATTTTTGTTACTTGGTAACAAAATAATAGCCAATGGAAAAAATAGGTATACATTATAAACAACTCTAAAAACGTCATATATTACAACAAAAATCTTCAATCAATCTGCATACTTTTTCAGAGGAGATATATACGCGTAGATTATGTTTTGCTTGCGAAAGATAATTAGATTGAAAAAACCAATGCAAGCAAGGGATGAACACTCAACACCAACAATCTAATAATCCTGCTTGCTGTACCACCATCTCCTGCACGCCTCACACTCCAGCAGGTTCGGTGTAAAATGACACGGTCATGTTAATAACAATAATCTCCATTTATCTGGGAACAGTTCACAAAGTCTTAAGAAAATTGCTTTCAGCAGGGTCCTACATTAGGGATATTTGGACCAACATCCTGAATGACGAGTGCTGTTGTGGCGTTATGTGGGAGAAAACCAAACCCAACAAACATAACAAGGTGAGGAGACACAGCACGACCATTGAGTGGTCACCTCGCAGCAGCAGCAGCAGCAGCAGCGTGCCTACTATGCCCGATGTAAGCCTTGCTGGCCACCCATTCAAGTAGCCAACTGTGGTGGCCATGAGATGTTATCTCCCTCTCCTGGCACACAGGAGGTCGTGTTGTATATTTGAAGTTTGCATGTTCTCTCTGTGGTCACATGGATTTTTCTCCAGGGTCCTCCAGTTTTTGTTTCCATTCATAAAAACACGCTAATTCCCCTTTTAAAAAACACGATATAAGCCACTTTGATGACCTATCATGCAAGTAAAAAAAGTAAATAGTTACTAACCAGGCTCAAAACACGCTAAGCTTCTGAGATGTGATTAGAGGCAATTGAGGTAATTTAATCACATGAATAATGACCTCTGGGTAATCCACCGTCTCTGCTGGCAGAGCATTGAACTAAGAGGTATGTGCCACCACTCCTGGCATAAACCATCTCTCCGTGAGCAGAGTGCTGTGGGTGTGGAGAGACTGGCAGAGACGCCAAAAGAGTGCGAAGGGGTGTTGGTGTCGTTGGTCCTTGACTCACACTCGACGGAGGAGCGGTGGCGAAACGTGAACCTCAGGTGACTGCGATACATGTCTTCAATGGGCACTGCCACCTGCAAACGACGACACAGATACAGATCTCCCAATCACTCTTACAGACCACTAGGGCCGAGCGTTATGAGCAAGCACTTAGTTAGGCCAGCGTGGCAGTTGCAAATGTCTCCCAAACGCTAATGTTCACACAACGCCTGAGCTACTCAATTAAGATTTAGTCAACCTAGGGCACACATGGGTTTGGTTAAGATTCCAATTACCACTGTCGTTGCACACGGCATGAAATTAAACTTCGATTACTGGGGATTCAGGGGAGTGTGTAAACCACGTAACATTGCTTACACACACACATCTAAACAAGCTTCATCTACGCGCACACACTTACGGATACACAGGTCACAGAGGGAGCATGCACACACAGCATGTGCTACCAGCACAGATGCACAGCAACAGGTCGAGAGGAGGGCACACAAGACGTGCACAGTGCACACACACACATACGAGCTGAAGAAATTTACTAAAAAAATATCAGTGGTGAAAAAAGGGAGACACTTGGTATGCTAGCAGTGCAAATACTGAGGACACATTTAGAAGTAACAAATGACATGAGTCATGATTAATGTGGGGCTCTTAAATCGAAGAAAACACTCGTTTGCGAAAATGGAATGTGGAGTTTCCACCACCGGCTCAGGGCTGCTGAGGAAGGTGAGCGATGGCCGTGAACACCGCCTCACACACCAATGGCTTTGTGGGTAAATGAATGAGATGTAACTCACCTTGACCGTCTCAAACCACTGGGGTGCCTTGACCTGGTAGTAAACCACCGACTTGTACTCTGTTACGGGGTTGGTTCCAGCGCCCAAGCAGATCACATTCTGACAAAGACAAAGATCCTCCACTCAGACTTGCAGACACAAGTGCTGTTAGCGAGCACCTATGAAGGTTAATACGGTGCCAAAAGCGGCAATGTGATCAACATCAAGCAAGCAAAAATCTCTCTATCAGTGTTAATCTTGACAGAAAGCTCCAGGTACCCATTTAGGGCTGAGCTGACCTATAGCAGATCCAAACAAGGTTCATAAAACAGGAATGTTGTGCATGACCAGGAATCAAACCTGCGCCTGGACGGGAAATCAGCCTGGACCACTGATTCCCACAAACACACACACGTAACATCGCGATCGATTTTTAACACTGACCCATCTAGAATTCTGGTGGGGCCTGCGTGTAACAGACTAATTGAAGTTGAGAGTTGGTGGATTACTCAGATTTATTAAACTCCCAACAATATCCCACCTGGGATTGACTTCGCATCCTTCAGGGGATAATACAATGAGTAACTCAGTAGCACTTTATAGAATGCCAAGAGTTGTGCATCTTGTGGAGAGAGTGGACACCCACCAGTGGCTCAGGACCACTGTATGAGATGAATGTGCAGCAATACTTGTTGGAGCAAGGAGACACTTCACCTTCACTCTGACATCACCAAAACATAACCGTGACTTCATTTTCTAAAACTACACCTTTTTCGATCACGTCCATAGCTGAAGCATTACTGATCAGTTGAGTTCATTGCCGAAACGAACGGGGCAAATCCTGTGACAAAAATATAGTTTCTTTCCAAAGCAGTTGCTACAGCAGCGAAGCCATTGCTCGGGCAAGGCACGCAGATGCCCTCTGGTGTGCACGGTGGTAAATGCACGCCCACGCGCACGGGTCAACGCGCAGACAAGCAGGTAGCGGGCATGTTCACGGATTTAGTTTGCGGACGGAAGGACGTTTAATAACTTTTGGTGGGGAATGTGCAAAGCCAAATAACCCGCGGACATCGCCATTTGCAAGTGTTGGGTTATTGTTTGTTAACCCACCGGTCAAGGCAAGGCAACGCGAATCACAGCTCACATGAGGAATGGGGCGGTGCTCATATCCATTGGTGGCCTTGAGCGAGTGATGGGAATTCCTCATTTCAATAGCAGGGGCCAGGCTCTCTTTAGCTCAGCTCCTGCAGACTTGCGTATTTTATCACCGAAAAGGAAATATGGGCTGTCAATCCTCAAAACAGGATATTCTCTGAATTACTTTCTGATCTTAAGCCGGGTACTCTAATGCTATTACATTCAAATGTCGAGGAAATGTCAGCAGAGAAAATGGGTTCCAGTCCCACCCACGAAGATTTGAGTGTCATTCCCTTGTAATACCCAGGGGGGTGATATCACCAGATAATTATAGATTTTTTACAACCAAAACAATCACTAAGGAAATTCCAGGGCACCCTGATGCAGGGACTTATTGAAAAAGAGTCTTCATCTTCGGCGAGGTCTTCTTGGATGAACGGCTCGTTACACAACAACAGCACTTAGAAGCACTGAACTACACCGTGCAACTGTTGCAAGCGGTGTGCACCAACATCGCCCTCCAAAGCGCAGCCACATTTCGGGCTCGTGCTACCTCACCCGACGATCACCTTTACCGCCACAGAGTGGAATTCACGCCCTCCCCTCCCCCCCGCCAATCCCTCGAAATTCGCAACCACATTGGCTGCGAGCTCACGGATGGGAGGGCACGAAAAAAAATCGAGCGAGCCTGAGCAGTGTTTTAATTGGGAACGGGGCGCTACCTCCAAGACCTTTCCCTCCTCGTCGCAGACGCACATGGTGACCTCGGTGTTCTTGGGCGTCGTCTTGTTGCCCTTGTCGAACTCCCCGTTTAACAGGGTAACGTAGATGTCGTTCCTGACGTCCCCTGCGATGCGGTGTCACGGTCGCACAGGCAACAGCAGCAGCGGCACACGGCAACTTAATGTTAAAGTATTCACTAACGTTTCATTTGAATAAATAATCAAACCAAAGCTTTATACACACAGTCAACAACTGAATTTATCGGCAGGTGTGACACAAATTCACACCTGCGTCAAGGTGCGCCGGTTTTTATCCTCCGCACACCATGTTCTCGCTCCCTTCGTCACATCTGTTCCCCGGCTAACAGTGGCTCATTATTATTTGTTCGATTCCTTCTTCATATGGTGGAAACAAATCTCTCCACAGGAAGCCTACTATCTCCATAGGTTGAGTGCTATTGCCGGAAGTAGACTGATCATTACCGGCAAGAATAGATGACAAGAGGACATATCATTATAATTGTTATCGTTGTTACCCACCAGGCATGATGATTTCTGGGAAGCCCAGCTTGCGGGCGATGGCTGTGGAGCGATCGACCAGATGGGGGAACTCCTGGCGGATCTGCTTGATGTCGCCATGAAGCATCTTCAGAGAGACGTAGAGGCCTGTGTAGGGCACCAAAGACAAAGATCCCCCGTATAGCCTTTAATAGACTATTGGGGCAAGTGCTGTGAGCAAACACCTATTAAGGCTGGCACTGCACACGAGGGGGTGGGTGGCCATCACTACAAACAGCTATCTTTGTCTGAGCAGTGTTGATATTTACACACTGCACCGATGGACACATTTTTAAGGCTGAGTCAAACCTTGGGGAGGCCTAGGACCGGTTCTGATATTCAACACTGATATCGCAGCAGTGCGCTAACCACCGCGCCGCCGCTACCAATATAGGGGTTTATGTGTGGGACACTCACTATCATGACAGAGATCCCCCAACAAGCCGTACGCAATGCGGGGGGGGGGGGGGGGGGGCAAGCGTGTGGCCAGGAACACACCAGGCACCTTTGTCTGATCTTAACACCCTGCACTGTGGACTCGCATTCAGGTGAAGTTGGTCGAGTGCGGGGCAAGAATAGGTTCCAGATGCCACTTTGCCAGAGTTCAGGATGTCCAGGAATCCAACCCAGGTTGGCAGGTTCGCCCATAATTACAATCAGCAACTGCTGATGACGTACGTGACCAACCAGTGAACATCTAGGATGCTATGGCTAGCCCGGCTTGTTTCAGGAACGCGCACAAGAGGGAGACATTCATTTTGCACTGGCCCAGGAAGCGGTAAGTACCTAAGGCAAAGTCAACCCCCAGGCTTTTACTGACATGCAGTTACAAAGAATATATGGTCTCTGCTGTGCACGCTGCAACACAGGAGCCTCGGGGCACGACCCTGCATTGCATCGGCGCACAATCGCCAGCAGCCAACGTCACACTCACCCTGGCCCTTGTGGTTGACCTCTTTAGACGACACAACCTTGCTGATGACGTTCTGGAGGAAGTCGTTTTCTCCCGACAACCTGAATGAGAAATTGGAGGTGAGGTGGGGGGGAGGGAGGCTTTGTCTTTGTCCCCTGGCTGAGCATTAATGTTCCGCCGCGTACACAGCGACGCACGCCGCATGCACCTGCGCACAGGGGACTACAGCAGCATGCTCGCGGACAGGCAGGCGGAAGCAGGAACACGTTCGGAGACAGAAAGGAGGGAGGTGGACACATAATGCAGCAAGCAGGAGGAGGAACAGGAGGAGGATGAACGGTTATGATGAGGCCTTCAGGGGTCCTCCGGTTTTTCCCTCAACATTTAGAAGCATGCATTTAGAGTGTTTGGCTGCGATAAACTCTCACGTGATAAGCCACTTCGATGAGCTTTAATTTGGGGCCAGGTCACTTCTGAAAAAGACCTGTATATCTCAGCGAGCCTTACCTGATTTCGATTTAAAGCTTTCGTGACTGCAGGGATTCATCTTCTTGGTTCTTTCGGTAAAGTCACGTAGAAGGGAAGTAATAAAATAATAAAAATAAAACATAATAAAACAATTCTCACGACGTTTCGGCCACAACGCAAGCAGCCGTCCTCAGGTGAAAACCAGGTCCGTCGAGGCGACAGAGTCTGAATGAAACAGCACACGGGCTTGGAGCATATATATAAGCTGGGCGCATTGACAAAGGAATTTGCATATCAACAGGAATTTAGCAAATTCAACAGAATTTGCTAAATTCCTGTTGATATGCAAATTAGTTTGTCAATGCGCCCAGCTTATATATATGCTCCAAGCCCGTGTGCTGTTTCATTCAGACTCTGTCGCCTCGACGGACCTGGTTTTCACCTGAGGACGGCTGCTTGCATTGTGGCCGAAACGTCGTGAGAATTGTTTTATTATGTTTTATTTTTATTATTTTATTACTTCCCTTCTACGTGACTTTACCGAAAGAACCAAGAAGATGAGCCTTACCTGGTAAAATAAAAAATAGTTTACTTTTTCAGATAAAAATCTGCACAGCACTCCGAACGGGGCGACCGTGAAGCTACCTGCAAGATATTTTAAAGACCCTGCGCTGTGATTCTTTGAGGTCACTGGGTGACGTCACGTGACGGAGCCCCGTTCGGGGCTCGGGAGCACAATACTCGAACGGGTGACGCGTCGCGCCGGGCGAGGGGGGGGGGGAAGTGGAACTACTCACTGCTGGAAGGGGATGAAGTGCTCCTTCTGCTCATCACTGTCTCCCTTGCCGTTGATGATGTCGGTGATTTCCATCACTGCGGCACAACAACAACAACAATAAACGTGGAATGATTCACACGATCGGCGATTCACTACTTTGCGACGATTCGGGGTCACGAGATTCTAGAAGTAGTCCTTTTTGCCTCATTTGTGCCGTCCAGTTTGTATGAATAATTTCCACGAAGCATTGTTGATTTTTATGCAAACAATCTCATTACATTTTAATCGACGAATTATTTAGACGTCTACAAATCTGGGAGTGTTAACTTGAACCACACGAATGGCTTCTAAAAAAGCCACACACTTTGGAAACTAAATATTTCCACATTCCCAGGTGATCGATTCAAATGTATATTTTGAAATGAGTCAGGGTAATCAAGCAAAACAGGGTAATGCTCATCTCTGTAGGCATACCGAGCCAGTGGTGTAAATTCCACATGCCTATGACAAGGGTCAGATTAACCACAGGACGGCCTCTGTTGACTGCCCCTAAGCAAAAGTGCCTGTAAAAGCATTCAAAAGCTAAAAAGCGCAGTGGAACACCGATCCTTAAGGCCTGCTGTTTGGCGGATTACTTTAAATTTTTCCTGTTACTTATTTACAAAATAAGTTTCCTTTGGACACACTGGTCCTCGCCAGAACAATGTAGACTTTCCACCACTCGCTCAAAGCTACCAAACAGCGAGTAGAACCCTTATGCTTACACTTGACCGACAGAAGGGAGACAAAAAATTGTGATTTCTCAAGAGCCCTTGTGCGACGGGGTTTTTCTTCAAGGGCCCACGGTACGAGGGGCAGAAAACGCTGCTGCTGCTGCTGCGGCGACGATGGGCGCCGCCGCGGTTGTGCGCTCGCAATTACCGGCCACCCCGAAGGGGCGACGCAGCCCCGAGGTGCTCTTCTTGGGGTGGGTCTCCTTGAGGTCCATGTAGCCAATCCGGATGATCTGGCACACCAAGCAGATCCTGTCCCGCTTCAAGTCTCTACTTCCAAGGTCCTTTCAACAAAAAGTGGACATCCCAAGGGGGGGGAAAAAAAGAGATAAAAAAGGGATTTTTTTTCATGAAAAACGAGCCAGCCGCTGATTCAGATGAAGAGGAAGACGTTACCAAGAAACGATTTTGTGATATTTTATTTCAATGTCAAAACCGTATTGATCCACAGCGAGGCGGCAGTTTGTATGTTGCCGAGTCCCTCCCGCCCTTTCCAAATAATCACTCAAAACTCTCCAGGTCAATAGCCACAAGTGACCATAGATCTCAGTGTCATTGGAACAGACAAATGGTTCATGTTTAACCATTGCATCGCTTGTGCATCACCCTGGTAATGCCTTTCCATGTTACGGCGCTATGGAAATGGTCACTGTGATTATTATAGATTGTTTTAACTGTATATTCATTCACCCATTTTAAATTCTGAGCTATAGGACGGTGTGCTACCATATTCTTCTCCGCGTTAACTAACGTGGAGCAGCTCCCAACGTGCACCATGCAGCAGCACGATGTCGCTGGGGTCACGGAACTCCCACCGCGTGAACTGAGGTGAAGGAATTTTGTCGAGGCTGTCATGTCCCGAGGAGGGTGCTACCGCAGTCTCTCTCTCTTCTGTACCGATTTGAATTGAGTGGCAACCGCAAATCGATTTCTAGGTTGAGAATCCAGCTGCTTCGCTTCGGAGGAGAGAAAGTGAACGTCACCGCAGTGGACACGAGCTCACGGTGGGCTCCACCGTTTGATGTGGCACGCCGCGGTTCCGTTCTGGCGATTCTTCTTCTGCTCGGGCTGCGTGCCTCGACGTCACATGACCATCACTTTCAATTCTTTCTTATCGAGAATGACGCTTCAAACTCGATGTATTACAGCCTGACACAGGCCAAATTTTGCGTGTATGAAATAACGCTTTTATTGCCTTACTTGAAAACATATTAAGAACAGCATTGACTTGGTGTTTACATTTTTAATGCAGGTCTATGATTAATGATATTGATAAACTACTTTTTAATCCCATGCTTTATGTACAATACAATTCAATCTGAACTAATGGAACATATATATGCCACACTTTTATCGGATTAATATAGTTTTAACGAGGGGGCTCACAATACTGAACAAATTAAATTGAGCACCAGCAAACACCCCGAAGAATATAGGTGATAATTTTTTTTCAGATACGGAGGAATCCCCTTCTATTTATCCGGCTGGGTACCACTTTGGCAAGAGTACTCAACTCAAAACCCAAAGGTCACAAGTTCAAATCCCAGTTGCGGATCAACAAGTTCATAAATTGAGTACCACTTTGCGGGAAGTAAACAACAGATAATCCCCTGCCATAAGAACGTGTAATTTACACCTCTGACTCAGGTGCACCAATGAGATGATCTCCACCCATCGCTGGTTTGAGCAGGGGGATGCTTTTACTTTTGGTTTTGAACGTCAATTAGCAAAATCATGGCCCCTTCAATGCCCCGAGAAACCAGCAAGGACTCCGCTACCCGTCACGCAACAGGGGCCAGGTTCAGAGCGAACACTCACGGTGAAGACGACGCGCAGGTTGTTGAGCTTGTTGATGTCTTTGGGCATCCCTTGGCTGCCCCACTGCACCAGGTAATTCTCACTGCCCTCGTGGGAGGGGGGTTGTACAGACAAAAACCGTCATAACCTCGGTCATGTGCACTCAAATCCAACCTGCAATCTCTGGCAATTAAGATACTTTAAACTGAGATTGACAGCTGCCATTCGAAACGTACTGCTATTCTCAGGAGGGCTTTGCGTTAGATACCTGTATAAACTTAGCAATGTTGAAACCTTTAGTACATCGATAATGTTAAAGTTCATAATCAACGTTTTTGGGATAGATCGCAGTTACTTATAAATGTGTCAGTAACCCTCCACCACCCGACACGGCTGAATAATATTGGTCGCGAAAGCCTACGTGTTAATGTTAAAGTTCTATATAGGTGGTGTATAACGATTGATTGATATTGGGAAATTACAAGCTCAAATCCCAGACGTGGATCAATATAGCCCATCATTCTTCAAATCTTAATAAGATGAATACCACTTTGTCAAATAAGGACTTGTTTCATGTATTACTCCAAGCCTGCAAAAGGTGTTTACAGGGCCTTTGATGATGTGAGCATCTCGCAATTCAATAAATAGCTTTGTCATGGGGTTGTGCTGTGATTCAAGAATGTGTGCTTCACTTCCGCCGTGGTAACGGTGGACCCTTGAGCGGCTGGAATCAATATAAGTTTCAAAAACAACACACTTCACCGCGCCTGACACAAGGCACGTATCGTGAGCGTGAGGATGATTTGAAATCGACGAGTCAATGCATTATGACACTCCAACTGCTCAACCTACCCTTCTGTCAACTTCACAGATTGCTCTGCTCACGACTCAAATTCAGCGCCCACACACAAAGTAAAACATTTGCATTGACACGGTGTGACGTCTCGTTGATGACAGCCGCGAGAAGCCTCACCTGATAAACATCCCCTCCGCGGGGTCGTAGAGGGACATGAACACCTCCGACTCCTCGCCGATCTTGCACACAAAGTTCTTGACGGTCACAAAGAGGCTGTGCGAGTGCATGCCCGCCAGGTTTGCCCGGAACGCGTCCTGATTCTGCGCGAGGCGAGCACAGAGGGGACGGGGAATCAAATGTTATGAGCGTGTTTTGCTCGCGCCTACAACTTCACGATAGTACGCCTATTTGTCCGTTTCACGAAACGTGTGCGCGTTACAAATTGTTTCATCTTATTACCATTATTACGATTGTTTGTTTGTTCAAATAGGCAAAAATTAGTATTTTCAACCAAGACCAGATATCGGAAGGAGTAGGCAGTATGAATCCTTCCCTGGATAGTAAAGATGCAGCGGTACAATATCAACACCGTTTCTTGTAAAAGCTACGGACACAAATATCAAAAAAATCGGCTATTGTTTAAAGAAAATCCAAGTGTCTCTCGAAGTATCAGTGCTATTGCTAAACATGAGCCATTGCTATAAATTCAACATTCCTATGCTAGTGCCCAATCACATCATGAAAAAAAAAACACGAAGTGGTACTCAATTATTTTTTTACCACGAACTGGGACTTGAGACATTGACAGAATATCTGAGTGAGTGGAGTGTCTGCCTGTGTGCAGAGAGTGAGGCAGTGTCTTCGTACTGTGAGCGAGGCAGTGCTGAGTGTCTGTGTGCTGAGTGAGGCAGTGCTGAGTGTCTGTGTGCAGAGAGTGAGGCAGTGCTGAGTGTCTGTGTGCGGTGAGTGAGGCAGTGCTGAGTGAGTGTCTGCCTGTGTACAGTGAGTGAAGCAGTGTCTTCGTACTGTGAGCGAGGCAGTGCTGAGTGTCTGTGTGCGGTGAGTGAGGCAGAGCTGAGTGTCTGTGTGCGGAGAGTGACGCAGTGCTGAGTGAGTGAGTGTCTGTGTGCCGTGAAGGAGGCAGTGCTGAGTGTCTGTGTGCGGTGAGTGAGGCAGAGCTGAGTGTCTGTGTGCGGAGAGTGAGGCAGTGCTGAGTGAGTGAGTGTCTGTGTGCCGTGAAGGAGGCAGTGCTGAGTGTCTGTGTGCGGTGAGTGAGGCAGAGCTGAGTGTCTGTGTGCGGAGAGTGAGGCAGTGCTGAGTGAGTGAGTGTCTGTGTGCGGTGAGGCAGTGCTGAGTGAGTGAGTGTCTGTGCGGTGAGGCAGTGCTGAGTGAGTGTCTGTGTGCCGTGAGTGAGGCAGTGCTGAGTGAGTGAGTGTCTGCGTGCTGTGAGCGAGGCAGTGCTGAGTGAGTGAGTGTCTGCGTGCGTTGAGCGAGGCAGTGCTGAGTGAATGAGTGTCTGTGTGCGGTGAGCGAGGCAGTGCTGAGAGAGTGTCTGCGTGCGGTGAGCAAGGCAGTGCTGAGTGAGTGAGTGTCTGTGTGCGGTGAGCGAGGCAGTGCTGAGTGAGTGAGTGTCTGTGTGCGGTGAGCGAGGCAGTGCTGAGTGAGTGAGTGTCTGCGTGCGGTGAGCGAGGCAGTGCAGGAGGGGTCCGCACCGATTTCTGCTCCTCCTTGCGGCGGTCGGTGATCTGCTTCGTGGTGCTCTCGTGCGCACGGAACAGGCTGACCGTGCTCGTTTGGTCAGGGGTCCAGGATATTTCCATCAGTCATCTCGTACCACCAGGTCCAGGCCCAGAATGCTGCACACACAACACGTGTGTGTGTAAGGTAGCATATGTATGCAAATAGTCAGAGGTGCATAGTTGATGCTTTGGTGAACTTTTATGACGACTAAAACGTTCGTCAACATTATTAAGGATTTTCTTTGCTTACTGTCATTTAGAGAAAACATATACCTCAACGGTTTGGCTGACTAGCCTTCTTCTGGAAAGAATTGTGGTGATAATAAATTATTATTATTATAATATCCTCGTGTGTGGGCAGACTTAATCCATCATTGCCCCACCGTCAACCTCAGTACTACTTTGTAGGATCTCCGTGGTTGTCTTTGGTAAACACTGGTCTCTGTCACGGCAATGTGGAGTTTTTAGCACTGAGTCTTAGCCAGGTTGTACTTATGTACGTTGAATGTCTTTCACGCCGTACATAGCCAACCGTGATAATCAGAGATTGTCTTGCTCATAACCCATGAAATACCGAGATCGCGCCTCCGATTAGCATGGTTGGCTGCGTACGGTGCAAAAAAAATTCACCACACATACATCTAACCAACGCAGACTTCTAGGACAGCCTCCATGCCTGGGCACTACTCTTCTTGTCCACACGGCAGGAACCAGCACAACATTTCTCCTCTTATTTCCTGACAAAGCTCAGCTTTGGAACATCCTTAGCATTCTTAACCGCATGAAAATCTGGCTCTTCACTTCTTACCCATGGTCAAAAAGCGCATCGCCTCTTACATTGTCCCGTTTCTACTTGCCGACTAACAGCCAGAGGGTCGTGTGACGTGAATGTGAACCTATTACAGCAGCAGGACCCGGCACACACGAGGTGATGATGGTGTAGCCAGGACTCGCACGAGGTACTCATTTGAGGCCGAGTCTACATAGGGGAGGAGGCCCAGGACCGGTTCAGATAAGCGTTACTGGTATTGGCCGTGAGCGGGAATCGAACTCGGGTCACCGGGTCAGTAGAGCGGCAACCATAAGCATTTGCCAGCAACGTCCACTTCCTGTCAGCCTGCCCACCTGTTTCCGTAGTCGATCCTGGCCGTCACCTTCTGCTTGAGCTCCTTGAGCTCGTCGAGGGGCAGCGTGCCGGACAGGATTTGCGAGCGCCAGTTTATCAGCTCGTACATCATGTCACCCAGCTGCCTGAACCTCTTGCTGTCATAGTTCTGGGGAAGAAGCGCACGTGCTCGTCAACAAGACGGGCGAAGCATAGCGACGTCGCAACGGCCATGTCAATGCTTACGGTCGCAATGCAGACGCAACAAAGTGTGAGTGACAAATATGTTGAGTTTTTTTTTTCATAGCGCAACACGCCAACTGCTACACTACCGCTCCCCACACACAATAACAACAACCTGCCATTCGCTACTAAGTGGCAGTTAACGTCACCACAGCGCTTGTGCCAGGGTATGTGCATATTAAGGCCACGAGAAGTGTTAAACGCCCGTTCGCAGGAGGTCAAGGGACAGATCCAGATGCCATGGGTCAACTGACTGAGATGACTGGCTGATGCACCACCTGTGCCTCCTACTGTGTCAACTTGCTCTGTTTTAGCCACCCGGTATTCCGCTCATTCGTGTGAGCGTCGCTCCTCTGCCCTCCGTTGTTGCTGGAGGGCGACTGCCTCCAATTGCCCAGTAGCATCCTTCACGAGCCCCCTCCACAGAGGCCGATCTTGACACCGCTGGTACCAGTCCATTGGCAAGCCCGTGTCGCGCCTGTTTAGCCCCTTCTATCCAGCCGAACAAAAGCTGTTTAGGCATGCGGTGGACTGGGCATGCGGGCTACATGACCCAGCCAACGCAGCCTTGCCTGCCGGAGCCCACCGAAGGGACTTTGTCCAGATCTTTCAATGGATTTGTGAGCTCCTCACACAATCCAGCCTGGATAAACCCAGGATGGATCGAAGGCAGGCCAGCCTAAATGTTTCTAACCGGCACAGATTTTCCATTAGGGGGGTCCACGTTTCGCAAGCATAGGGAAAGGAGGGCATGACCGTGGCCGACAAGACCCGAAGCTTCATGTAGAGCGACAGACCAGGTAGCTTCCACACAACATTACGCAGCCTATGAAAACTCTCCAGGTATAGAAAACTAAGGTGTCTTATGCGAGTAATGAGATCTGTGCAATCCATCAAGCGAGCATCGAAAGTTCTAAATTGCTGACAGAAACCGTCAGAGAGCCTGGTTCTCTGATGCTGAGGGAAAGGACATCACTCAATTGAAGCCATTCATCAGCCCAAGGGCACTGCCAGAGTAAGGTGGGCTGACAGGGATAGGGGTGGTTAAAACACGATTTAAACTATTTTTTATTGTACCAGGTAATGCCTACTGGGCTATATAGGTCTTTTTCAGAAGCGACCTGGGCACAAATGATAGCTCAGCTTATCATATGGAAATTTATAGCAGCCAATTACTCTAAACCCGTGATTCTAAATGTGGATGAAAAAACCGGAGGACCCGGAGAAAAATCCACGTGACCACGGGTAGAGAGACAAGCAAACTCCAAATATACGGCAGCAGGCGTCAGGGTCGGGATCGAACCCACGACCTCCTTGATACCAGGCAAGGTAGTTAACATCTCGGCACCATGACACCCCTAAAAGTCAGAGATGGGGCAAGTGTTTGTGCTGCAACGGGCGCTCACCACGTAGAGATGGCGCCACGTGACGGCCCACTCCCGCAGCGTAGTGGTCACCTCCTGCACAAGCGGCGACTCCGTGGGTCCTGGCGCCACCACCTCCGTGCTCCTAGCGAGAAGACGTGCACCGACAGTGACGTCAGCACCACCACTCAATGCTTGTCTGGGCAAGGCACACACACTTTGACTTTGGCAAAACTGTCACGTTAGATTTTTATTAGGTATTTTTACTTTACAATTTCTAAAGAAAGAGCTGTTATAAATAATAATAATAATAATTGTAGAAGAACTGTAGCAGAGTTCAACTGCACTGATAACTCCTCAGAAATCAAAAACCAGTACGGAGATTCCATGTTCAGGAGCTTAACTATTAAAAATTCACAGTGCAAGTACTTCACCCAGCTCAGGCCTAACAATGAGGATGTGTTGCTGATACAGTGTGCCCTCTACTGGGCTCACATGGCGCTGTGTGTATTCCCAAGTGCTTTTCATGACAGCTCTATAACATACGGTCATGGAAAGGGCATGAACACAATAATGCGAGCTTACCCCTTTTTGTCAAACAGTGCATTCTTGATATGAATGTAGGCGGATGGGAAGATACCCTGTGGAAATCAGAGAGTTAAGCTAATCATCAAATAACAAAGAACACAACATAGAATATTCAGATTTCAATATTAAAGCACAGAAAGTCAAACTACTCTGTGGACCTGCAATCGCAGCTCTGATATTACGTAACCCTGATTATTAATTATTCCTCTGCGTTTGACAAAAGGAATACTCACTTTGAGGCCCACGCAACCCTGGATATTGTTTTTATAGACTAGCCCCTGTCATGGGAATGTGGAGTTTCCAATGTGGGCTCAACATCACCAACGGAGATGAATAATGCTCGCTCCATTGTCATTTTGAGAAGGGAGATAACTTCACTTTCACTTCCGGTTACCCGACTGAAGTTCCCTTGATCTCCGTTGCCAATGGACACGTCAGGACTGCTCGTACATTAAACAATAGACAGACTCGTCTCTCATATGCAACACTACCTTAAGAAAATAAAGGAATGCTTACATTGTGAAAGGGCACACACATTTCTCAATAAGATTAAAAAAACCGCAATCAACTCAGGCTTTTCTCAGCAATATTATTATCTTGTAACAATTGCACTATTTTTCCAGTAACAAGTAATTCAGCCCGCAAGAAATTAACATGCATCATCGTTAGAATGAACGTAGTAAATAATTGAGAATTATATTGCAACTTTACCTTCCGAGCCTTGTTCTTGATTGTGTAGCCCCGAAACCATCCTGCAACCGTGGGGAGAAAAAACATTGCATATCAACGCACCTGAAAATAGATTTACATCTGTAAAAGTGAATATAATTGCATTATCAAGAGCAGTTCTATAATGTGCACGTGTGTATGTGTATGTAGCACAATGTTTAACAAGAATGATTAACAATCCCAATGAAAAGTCCTTTCAACTCCTTGCCACGGATACAATCAGTGGCAAGTGGTACGAGCCGACCCTGCGACGTGCACTAGGTCAACTCAGCCTCAAGAGGGTATAAACATCAGCATCGACAAGACAGAGATGGCTCGCTCTGGCACTGCCGGCTCTCTGGCTGTGTCCCATGTCAGATTAATAACGGGTGCCTGCAAGTAGCACTTGGCCCAACAGTGTGTTAAGGCTATACGGGAGATATTTGCCATTGTTGTTTGTCTGGTTGCGCTAGTATACAGAAGGAATACTGTGGAAAGTGCTTTGCGGTACGATAAAGAACCCAAGTTCAATTCCTCGCAATGATGCATAACAGCAGTTGCTGCGTTAAGTAAAAAAATAAATAAATAAAGCTATACAAATTCGTCATTAACACTTTGGCCTTAAAATGTAACTCATGCAATAGGCGACGTATCAGGAAATGGCCCTTCTTGGGAGCACATTAGGAGAGGTCAGAGAAATCGAGTGAACGAGTATTGCAGACTGCACATAACAACTTTGGGGCCTGATGAGAATTACATTTCAAACATTTTCGCTCAAAACCAGTTTTAAAAAAAAGGAATATGGAGTTACTTAATAAGTAATTAATGGACAAACCCTTGAGTATTTATAAAGTATTAAGAAATACTAAAATAATGTAAAATTGTAAAAAGAAAACGCGCTGGCACAATGCATTGTGGGGAATATATATTCGTTTAAGGGCACAGTGGTAATTGACGACTGTGCGGAGGTTTTTGGTTTTAACTGTGCTTATGCACCCCCTGCCAACGCAGCATTACCGAACACGGCGTTAAATTCACCTTGTAGTGCCACGTTTATCCACTGGGGGTCACCACTACGCCTTGTGAGAGCTCTGTGCAACAGCGTAATGTGGATGTATGAAAATTCGCGGCACTCAGTATTTGTATAAACGCATGATTTCGTCAAGTTCAAGATTTACGCATGTTGAAAAGGCATTGGGCTATTTGAGAGATGTGCCACACGTTGACAGCACGTGTGCATGTGCACCGTGTGCATGTGCACCGTACGCATGTGTTGCGTGTATATTGTGTGCAGAAGCATGATTAGCGCGGTTGGATACATACGGTGGGAAATAAATTCAACATAAATACAGCGAAGTGCGTAGAAAAACATACGTGTGTGCCAGAGAAGAAAGTATATTTATTGGTAGGCATGTGTGTATATTGAACTTCTTTCGCACCATACGAAGCCAACTGTGCTACGTCTGTGTTGTATTTTTACTGAAGCTTATGTACGTGTGGTGTGATGTGTGTGTGCATTGTGTGTACATGGCAGAAGCACGTGTGTGTATAAAAGCAAGCACGTGTTTGAAGAGAAGCATGTGTATGCGTAGAGAAGTATTATTAGTTAGTGTGCAAGGTGCGTGTATAAAGAAGTGTGTAGTGTGTAGTGCAGTGGTGAGCGCACTGCACTACGAACCCAAGTTCAATTCTCGCTCAGTGACGAACATCTGAACTAGTCCTACACCTCCCCGAGGTCGACTCAGCCTTAAATGAGTACCTGGTGCTGTGTGTAAACATCATCACGAGGGAGACAAAGGCGGCCGGGGGCGTGGTGCCCCCTGCACTACCTCCTCGTGCGCTGTGCCAGCCTTCGTAGATGCTCACTAAGGGCACTTGCCCCAACAGCATGTGAAGCTGCCAGGGGGATCTTTGCCTTTGTGGCGGCGCGGTGTGTGCCTCACCGTCACAGCTCTCCAGGATGTGCACCACGTCGCCGATCTGCAGAGGCAGCTGGTGCTCGGTGTTCGCCGACAAGTTGAATATGGCTACACGGCACACACGGGGGACACGGGGGACACGGTTAAACGAGAGGAGACACAGTGGGGCACGTGCACAGGGAAACACAAGCAAAGCTGTAAACGCACACCGTGATGAACGCGGACAGGCACACCACACCATAAAGATGCAGTGGATCGTACATAAACACACCAATGACATGAACGGATATAGAGATACACGTGTACAAGCAGGCGCATATGAAGTCACACGTACGGACGTACGATTAAAACAATTACATTATAGATATAATAGATGAACACAAAATAAGACGAAGACACATTCATAAAATGCACAATAAGACAGACATTTACACGAGAATGCATTCGGACATTTTAAAATGTCATATAAACACAAGTGGCAAACATACGTGCACACAAAGCAACGTAAACACATGCAATGACACGTGTATTCATTATTTATGAATCATTTATTCAAATTCATCATTTATGTATGATGCGTATTGCACACACAGAATCATCCAACATTGACCCCGGTATCGTGCTGAAAGGGGAAATCCAAAAACACTCTGACCACTTACACAGCACGTCAAAATAATCACACATACAATTTAAGGATCGTAATGAAAGGACTGCCGCTGGAAACTTTTCAAACGCGTGGCATTTTAGGTGAAGCATCAACAATCCCCAACACTGTTACGGTGGGAGGAAAGGGGGGGGGGTGCTTAGGGGAGTGGTGGGGCAGGGCAGCAGTACATCGTTTGCTCAAGTACAACGCAGCGCACCAAGCCATGCATTAATTACGAGGGCTTTGTACGGCGCACACAGGATGCAATGTATAGCAAGGCAATGGACATGCTACGTTCTCAAAACAGTGGCATCAACCCAAAGGGGCCGTCCATAAATGATGTCACGCGATTTTGGACGATTGTTGACCCCCCCCCCCTCGTCAGACCCCCCCTCAAATATGACGTCACAAAGCTCTGCCCCCCCACCCCAAACCATATTTCCATTTTGAAAATAAAACTTGCTTCAAATCGCTTTAAACTATTCTTTGGTTTTTTTCGGTAAAGTCACGTATAAAAATAAAATAATAAATTAAATAATAGCATACGACGTTTCGATTGCAACACAAGCAATCATCATCAGGTATAATGAAATAGCGACATAGAATATAACCAGAAAACTATAGACAGACATATAAGCAGACAGATATCACCAAGATACATAGAGAGAGCAACCCAGGTACAGAGAGAGGTGATCGTCTCTGTGGGATGGCCTTAAATAGACAGAGGGGGGCGGAGGCAGAGAGAGGGAGGGGGTAGGGAAAACATGTACATGTCAATGAGTACGAAGGGAGGGGAGTAAGGTAAGCAGGCTTAGAGGGAGACAGAACACACTAAATTAAATAACCTAGCAAAGTATCGAAATGTTATGTAAAACGACACAGAGAGTCGGTCAACACACAATTAACGCATTGCCTGGTCGATTACGTATTTCAAAGATTGCTAAGTTAGAATTTAAGTGTGAAAATTCCAAAGAAAGACAAAACATAAAAAAGAGGAACGGAGACACACAGACAGAGCAGAACCTAAGAACGATACAAAACGAGTGTAGACAGAGAAAATTACACTAAATATACAGGCAGAGAGAGAGAACAAGAAACCCAGAGAGAGAGAGAAAAAGGTAAACTTGGAACTTCCCCGTAGAAGTGGTTCAATCTTAATTTTGGAGCTTTCGTGACTGCAGGAATTATTCTTTGGTTTTTTCGGTAAAGTCGCGTATAAAAATAAAATAATAAATTAAATAATAGCATACGACGTTTCGATTGCAACACAAGCTTTAAACTATTGTCATTGTAGTGCGTATTTAATGTGGCGCTGCACTCTGATGTTGTAGGAGTGTTGATATAACAATTAGTGTTGTTATAGCAATTATTGTTGTTATAAGAATTCTATATTTATTTAAAGTTGCGCATTTTGATGCGACGTCACATTTCTCAAACACCCCCCCCCCTCGTCACACATCGTCACAAATGTCTGACCCCCCCCCCCCCCTAGGTGCGTGACGTCATTTATGGACGGCCCCTTAAGCAGCCTGCTGGTGGCAAGTACCGTGTTCGAACAATTGAAACCAACACGTGGGAGTCACGTGATCAGCACCCAGGTCGGCTGCCTCGGTCACCGCAGCGTTCATGTTGACACAGGACGCCGGGCAAAGAGTGAACGCTGGGGCAGGGGGGATGCCCAGGGTAGGTTCGGATACCAATTGCTATCGATGCTGTCCATGACCAGAAGTGGCACGTGGGTAGCGGGGATCGCGTCACGCTGTGTGCACGAACCACGACCTCACTGCCCCGCGTGACGTTGTTCAAATTGAGGCGCACGGCTACCCGCAACATAACGGGAAAAGACACGCACAGCACGAACACGCACACACGAACACACGAACACACAAACACACGCGCACAGGGGCACAGAGTTGGCTACACACCCCGGCTTAAATGGGAAAAGCAGCACTGGCCAGGCCTCCACAGCGGTCCCATCAGGTGAGGCTTGGAGCTTTCACGTCAGAGCCCAGGGAAGTCATTAATAACATAATTAATTTAAGGTGTGAATAAGCATCGACTGTGCTGCACATCGACTTGCTGCCAACTCTTGAGTCGGCATTTCTAAACTTTTGGCTGAAATTCAAGGGCATTAAGGCTAAGCTCCAGCAAGTCAACGGTGTTGTCAGCTAAGAGCGGGCAAAAGCTTTTACGGAGCCACACGTGTCACCGTGGAAATGCGTCAAGTGTGGCGGCACACGCCTGAAACGTAACTACTCTGGTGTGGGGTGCGTGGGTCAAACAGAGATGGGAACCCATATGAGACCGGACCCTCCAACCTGAAGACACCACAGTGCGAGCGGGTATAGCAAGTAGGTTGATAAAGGTTACCTTATTATAATCTAACGATGGTAATTCTAGTTCCAATGAGACCACATACATGATTGAAATAAGATACTTTAGGGGCCGTCCATAAATGACGTCACGCAATTTTTGGACGATTTTTGACCCCCCCCCCCCTCGTCACACGGCGTCACAAAAAGTCAGACCCCCCCCTCAAATATGACGTCACAAAGCTCTGCCCCCCACTCCCCCAAACCATATTTCCATTTTGAAAATAAAACATGCTTCAAATCGCTTTAAACTATTGTGTCATTGTAGTGCGTATTTAATGTGGCACTGCACTCTGATGTTGTAGGAGTGTTGTTATAACAATTCTATATTTATTTAAAGTTGCGAATTTGGCTGTGACGTCACATTTATCAAACCCCCCCCCCTCGTCACACATCGTCACAAATGTCTGACCCCCCCCCCCCCCCTTTAGGTGCGTAACGTCATTTATGGACGGAGTCTTATTATATATTTTTTTATATTTGTTATCACTCGATTATATCAGAAGGAGAGGCTTGCACAATGACACAAATTTTCCGATCTCATCGAGAATATTGACGATACATCTTCTTGGTTCTTTCTACGTGACTTTACCGAAAGAACCAAGAAGATGAATCCCTGCAGTCACGAAAGCTTTAAATCGAAAAATATTGACGATAGTCGCATGCATCGATGTACGGCACCGTTATGAGCTTCCTCCATTAAACTGACAAAGCTGCCAGGTCGTTGCATTTCATCTCGAAGGGCACGTGCCGTTGCTTCTGCCAAGCCTCTGCGCAAGCGACCGAGGCCGCAGGAACTTCACCGTCCTCGGCAGCACCTCCCAGCGGACTGCCGCCACTGCCAAGCCGCCCACAGCAAAAGGAAGCGCCGCTCGAGAAGGGCAGAGGCCCCCACCCCCCACCCCCCAGCAAAATCAATGAACGCAAACAAAAGCCGCATTTATTTTCGTGCCTTGTTTACTTCCTTGGACTCCCCGATGCCGCAGCAGCGGGGGACTCGGTATTTCATGTTTAAACAACGCCCATTCACAAGCGGCCTTATTCAGAGGCAGCCTAACATAGCGGTCAGAACGGCGCGTGTCTCTCGGAGCAGCGGCGAGCGAAGTACAAAGCGTCTCTCCGCTCTAACGGGCACAGTGCGGTGCTCATCTCCACTGGTGGCCGGGTGCCGACAACGGCCCATCCACATTCCCAGTCATGGAAGTTGGTCTTCCCACCGTCTTTCTTATGGTGTTCCACAAGCAAAGACCTCCAATTAGCACGGTTGTCTACGTAAGAAGCGAAATAAGTTAAACATGCATACACACACAAAAAATACAAAGATCCCCCGTATAGCCTTGAACAGACTGTTGAGGCAAGTGTATTTAGCAAGCACTTACAAAGGCCGGCACGGCAAACGAGGCCAGCACCATGCCTGGACGCTTTTGTCTCCCTAGTTGCAAAGTTTACACACTGCACCAGGTACTCATTTGAGGCCGAGTCGACCTAGGGGAGGCCCAGGACCAGTTCAGATAATCGTCACTGGTGTTACTCCGCGAGCGGGAATCGAACCGGGGTCTCCAGGTTCGTAGCGCAGCACCCCAACTGCTACACTACCTCTCCCCACAAGACACACACACGCATACATACAAAGCCACACACACATGCGTAAATATCCAAGTAACTCAATGACTTGACCGCCACCACTTGAACCTACGAGCCGGCGTGAGGACCGGTCCTCAACAATGTGGACCGGTCCTCAACAATGTGGACCGGTCCTCAACAATGTGGGCCGGTCCTCAACAATGTGGGCCGGTCCTCAACAATGTGGACCGGTCCTCAACAATGCGGACCGGTCCTCAACAATGTGGACCGGTCCTCAACAATGTGGACCAGTCCTCAACAATGTGGACCAGTCCTCAACAATGTGGACCGGCTGTTTGTTCGGCAGCTCCACAGTCCCGTGTTGGGGGGGGAGGGGGGGGCACACAAACTCAGGTGGTGCAACATCAGGGTGGGAAAATGCCCACACAGCCAGGCACCGGCGCACAATGCACAGAATCCGAGATAATCAGGGGCAATGCTGACCACAGATAAAGATTTGAAACTCA